AACAATGGCCTTACCTCACGTCCCGTGTGGATGCGGATTAGCTCTGGAGACTTGCCCAGAAAGGAGCGTGTCTTGGTAGGGAAGGGGCTCTCTTGGCTGGGTCGGCTGGACATCAGCTCATAGAGCAGGTAGAGGAGATTGGACCGGACGTTGACCAAGACGTGCACTCCTATCATAAGATATACATGTAAGAACGGTTAGATGTATCTGAAGAATATTGGCTACCGTTGGTGGAGCACACAAGTCAATGAGAGATGGCTATGGTCACAAGCCAGTGGCTTCCATAGGCATATGTGTTATTTCCAGTGATACCTAAGGTTACTGACTATGACTAACGTCAATAAATCTATGAGGTCTGCATATACTGGAGCCCTGTAGTTTTACAAATTTTTGAAACACTTGGGACACTCAATGACCATAAACCCTATCAGATAAATCAAACTCCACTGGGAAGTTCTGGAAGCTTTTGTGGGACTGAGGAAATGCGGAGCCCATCTGCTGTCAAGTTAGATGGGGCTTCATGTCCCTAGAAAGTTCACTGGTAAAGAACATGTCCTTCTCTACACAGTGGAGGATTTTGAAGAATTCACGCTGCATTCTTTGCCAAAATGCCAGAAGATTTGCACATTACAAGGGATGTCAGTTACATGCAGAAACAGTTATACATTGAGCATATATAACTAGTTCATATTGATTTCAACAACCCCTCCCACCTCAGTATTTCATGCCACACTGACCTTGAAAGTCAACGGAGATGGCTAAGAGTTTTCCACTTTCTGGCAAAGACAGCTTCTTGGGTAGGCGCTGGAAACAGTCGGGGACTTTTGGTGCCGCGCCACCCTTCACGATCTGTTTACAGACAAAAGACAAGCGTAAACAAAGAAATCCGGTCTACTGGGCCGTTTTGTGACGCAGAAATGACACAACAAAAGAGAAGAAAGTCATTTGTGGATCTACTGTAAAAATCACAACTGGTAATTGAAACTGCTGGAGCGGAACCATAATTTTTTCGCAGGGGAGGGTCAGGACTGGGGGAGGGAAAAAGGGTAATTCTGTGTCCGTGTACATACTTGGAGTTCATCTTTGCGTAGAAGGCGACAGTCTTGGAGTAGAGAGGGTACATCACAGTCATTGGTAGCATCAGGAACCGGTTCCAAGGAGGGAAACTTCACAGCCACATAAGCTCCGTCAACCTGAGCAATTATTCAAGTTGATTTCTTTAGTCCAAAAGAAACACTTTTTGCGTGACATTAAGAATGCTGTAAAAATAGACATTCACATATTTGACATTGTGATAAATCCAGAGGTTGACACAAACTGTTGACCATGGCTCACTTTCAGAACACGGCCAATGGGAACGGAGCGTATGTCTTCCACAAAGACAACGTCAGTCAACGCCCACACCTCAATGTCTGGCTTCTCAACTTCTCTCACTGGAGATGACAGAGGACGCTTTGTCCCACGTCCTAACAAAAAATAAAGTGAAGGGGAATACTGTTTAGAAACAATTACACATCTTTACTGATAAGCATCTGACCAGACGTTATAAACGACCATTTAAAAATTATCCATCAATCGTACCTGCTGCATATGTTTTGGTTTAGAGTACTTTCATAGGCATACTTTCTAGGACGTCATGCAGGCAATCAAGACTTTCGAGCCCCCAAATACTTCAAAAATTTAGCTGATGCTCATATCAGAAAAGAGATGTCAGCAAATGATAAGTAAATAATTGTTCCGCTGCTGTATCATCCGGCACCCCAGCTGGCCGACCCTGGGTGCCGCCAACCTACTTAGGGATCCTGCCTAAAAAAGGCTACAGATTTGCATGATGCTTTCACAGATGACTGCATTCTTGTACATAGGTACTTGCAGGCAGCCGCAGTGCACCGACAGAATCACAGACACTGATCTGATGTCAGCAATTTTCACAATTAAAGGCTTTCGCTTTTTGTTGAAAAAAAAAAACCCTTTTGAATTTGTCCTACAGGTTACACAAAATCATGGAGCTGTCTTGATAGTCCACATACACGAAGGCTTTTAAGGTCAAAAGTTGATACCGAGGGCCCTCACTCTCCAAACATTTTTCTGTTACAGTGTATTATTTCTGTATTCATAAAGGAGGCCTGCCCCCTGGCATCTGTGTACACTTTTAACGGCCTTCCTAGATTTAATATCGAACCAAGGTCATCAACCCCCCTCCTGATACTCCAGGCTCAACAGTCAACATACTAATCGCCCAGACGTAAAATAGAAAATGAGAAACCAATTGAAATAATAGCTGTACAAATTCTGAATTATCATTGGTTGTAAAAGTTGAAGCCAGATACCCTAATCACTAAGTAATAAAGGCAGTGTCGGTTACTGGCCGGAAATGAAATTTTGCGGTCACAATGAGATTAATTGTTACCTTCAATTACTGTGGTTGGCGCTTTTGAAGGATAGGTAGAGAGGAGACAAAACCAGTTAAATTACCAGAGGGCCCCGAATATACATGTATTCGTTGGGTATTAGTTTTGGCCATGCCGAAATAAATTCCTCAGCCTCAAAATAATTCCCCGGGCTGGATTTTCTTTCTAACTTTAGAATGTTTTCTCACACTTTAGAATGTTTTCTCACACTTTAAGAAACTCAGAAAAGTGTTTCTCCAACTTAGAATGTTTTCCAAAGACTCACATTATTGTATCTCAGACCCAGGAATATCTACAAAAAACAAATCTCCACCCTTGGAATATTTTTCCTGTCCCACTATATTTTTCCCAGTGTAAGAACTTATGTTTCATCGGACTATTAATATTGTCCACAAGACTCAGAGCTTTTGCTGGACTAAGAATGCTTTCTTAAGATTCAGAATATTTTATCCCAGCACTCAAGAATATTTACAGAGCTCAATACATCCTCCCCTTTAAATGTTTTCCCAGCCACAGATATTTTTCCCAGACTTAAAAAAAAAGTTCCACCAGACTCCCAATATTTTCTCAGAACTCAGAATATTTTTCCTGGAGTTCAGAATATTTTTCTCCTTGATTCACCTGGATTCAAATTAATTATCCCCGGCCTCTGAATATTTTCCTGCCCCTCAATTATCCACATTTTCAAATTTTTCTCCCAGACTCAAGAAATGTTTCACAAGACTCAATATTTTCCAGGAGGATTAATATTTTTGACGGATTGAATGCACAGAATAAAAATAATCAGTACGTGGTGGGGCATGGCAAATATTTAAACCATGCATGATCCAAGTTTCGATAAAGAAACGCTGAGATGGGGAGGATGAATATATTTGGCAGATTGAATGAGCGGAATAAAAATAATCAGCACACAGTCGGGAAGGGAAAAAAATTTAAACCAAGCGTGATCCAGGTTCAAATAAATGCCGTTTCAGGAAGGAATATTTTGGTGGGTTGGAAGCCTGGTATCATTACGCGGTGGGGCGGGGAAAAAATAAAACCACACATGGTCCAGGTTTGTAGATAAAAAAAAATGCTGACACAGGCAATGTCAATCAAAAGACGCAGACACTAAAAAAGGCAACTGGCCCCATTAGCTCAAAGAAATATATATTCTATAGGGTCAGTTGGTTGTCCCTCTTGGTTTAAAGAAAAAGCTCCTCAGGGAATTCGTTTGAAATGGAATGCCATTGTAAATGTCGTCAATCCTCCGTCCAAATTAAAAATTTACATTTTGGAAATAGTTTTGTAGTACATGTATCTCCTACTCACAGCACACTGACCATTTCACTGGAATTTGAGGTCTATTTGAGTTGAAGGCAGACTGAATAATTTTCAGATCTGGATGTACGAAAATGACGGTACTCAGACCTTGAAATTCAATCTGAACTTTCGATCTGCTGAAATTTCAAATCTGCAGACACTTTTCTGGGTTCCCTCCCAGTTCCACTATCCCTTGTTTGGAATTTGAGACTCTTCCACAGGACTCGGTCTGTAGCTAAAATTAACACTGGACATCGGCGCACCGCAGTGAGCCTTGTGTGACAGACGAATTTCTCTATTCATGCTGTCGTTAACACAATAGCAAATGCACAATTGGAATACTTAATGAGCTGGAGACTGGTCTGGGTACCACACTGTGTTGCGTGTAGGTGGTGAATAGGTGACTTGGAAAATGTGCCGTGGTGCGCCGCGGCAGCACGCCGATTAAAATCTTTTTGACATTGAGCCTAACAGGGTCTTTCCTAATCGGCTTCGTAGCCTCAGATACCCTCTGTGTGGAAGGCATTGTTTGGCTGGCTGATCTCACTCAGTAACCACAGATTCATGTACTGGTCACAGGGCCATCAAGTCTAAATGGCAAGTTGTTTGAAGCAATACTTACTCTGTGCTGCCGGACTGGATACCACGATGATCTCCCCGCTGCTAGTGGAGCCTGGGGACGGGGGTGGTCCCATGTCACCCTTGACCTCCACTTTACTCTCCCCCCGCCCGTCGCCCTTACTGTCGCCCTTGCCATCGCCCCCTTTGCCATCCTCTTTGGCATCTGAGGTTGTCTTCTGGTCCGAGCGTTCCAGTGAGTTGTGGCGGATGCGGAAGCGGCAGGTGTCGGAGAGGTTCCAGGCGGTGTCCAGGAGCTGGCCCACTTTAGGGGGGTAGCTTTTAGTGTTGAAGGCCAGGGCGCCTGCATGGTACATGGGGCAGCTGCGAAGGCACACCTGTGGCAAAATCCAATCCAGGAACATTTAGTTATTCAGTGACTGATATCCCCAATCTTCCCTGATCTTTCAAAATCCATCAGGTGGGTTTGGAGGGTTTCGCAGGCCGGGCAAAGCGACTATTATTTCGAATGGACCTTGAAGCCGCCAATTACAAAATGTGTCACTGGTTCCTTGCAAGGTGGAGAACCTTGGAAGACCCAGGGGGTTCCCATCTACAATGCCAAGGGAGTCTAGGTTACTGTAGGATGAAAGCTGTCACAAACTATCACTTTCCAAGCTTCTCCTGTGACTCTGGTGTGCACAGCTACAGACAGCCAGCCAATGCAACCAGGATGGTCCTAACTCTTGCCATCTGACCTTTCCAATTTGACCTTTGACCTCTCACCTGTGTTCCTACAGTGATGCTACCGGGGTTGCTAGCCTCTCGTTTCTTAGCCCGTGCTCTCTCCCTTGCTCTCTCTAGGACTTTCTTCCTGACCGAGAGGGGTAGAACTCCCCTGCAAAACATTGGCGTTTACATATTCTGATTTATTGAACCTGATATAACTGCAAATATGTACCACCTTAATATAGACCTTTTTCCAGTGAAGTCACGATCATGCTGGACCTATGATGTGTTGTGATGGTAATGAGTGCATAGTGTTGTGATGGTAATCTACCTATTCAAGATACATTTGTCAAACATGCAGCGTTCGCAAGTGCGCTTGTAAGTGGTTGAATCTGCCCGTGGGAATATATGTGATCACCGTGGCCAAGGCAGTCCACACGTGGTGGTATTGTTTACATTTAGTCATGTGGATATTATTATCATTAAGAGATATTCAGGGGTAAGTTACTGTTTCAAAAGTTAACTGAATTCCATTCTACCCATTACAACATTCCAGGTTACAATGTTATAGCTGTTGGGGGATTTCAAAGTGGTACACACAACTCTCCTTCTCTGAATTTTCAAAATAGAAGATTGTGACAATTTCAACAAAAGAAAACAACATAAAAGCGGAAAAAAGCTCAAGCAGAGCTAAGGTGAGCTAAGTTAAGTTAAGCTCAGCTAAGCTAAGGCACCATTTCTGCCAAACATGTAGGAGCTGTTTTCATTCTTACCACCAGAAGAGGGTGCCATTGTCCAGCCAGGCACAGGTGTAGAGAGGGCAGGTGTAGACAGAATGGATTCTCTCGCCCTGGAACTCGTTGAAGTAGGTAGCAGCATGCTCCAGGCGTGAGGCGATCGGAGACAGCGTCTCATCCAACAGAGTGGCAATCTGAAACCAGGTCCAAATGTGTGAAGAGCTTTGCCATCCAGTATTTAATCTGCTGACTGAAGTCTGGATTTGCTCAAGCTTTATACTTATGAATGCTAGAATAACCCTTCATTGATTTAGGCCACTTTTTTAATCCAGGAAGCTAATTCAGAAATCAATACATATGTAGTGCTTTAAGCGTGAGACCTCGCTACATTTTGAACCTGTTTCTGACTGGAGAATGATGCATAAACAAGCACACCCTCTACCAATCAATGCTGGACAACTTTCCTGGGCTTCAAAAAACATCATAAGCTCCGATGAGAGTCGAACCCATGACCGCTTCATTTGTGGTCATTTCATCTCTTTGATACTTCGGTTGTTAGGACTGTCTGGCTGCCAAGTTTAAGTTATAAATCTAGAAAATATCTGAAAAGGGCGTTTACGTCTATGGGTACCAACATACATTGTGGTATGTCAAGGCCTAACACTCATAGCCATAGCCACAATAATACCATTTCAAACTTGCCTTTACATCTCCCTAATGCAAAATTCTATAGAATGGAGTGACAGCCATTCTGAAATGTAACCAGGACGGATTACCTTCCCCGATTCAGTGACTAGGACAGCTTTCTCATAGCAAGCAGTGATCTGGACAACCTTTTCCCCTAGCAAGCCAAGAGTTGCCGCCTTGGGGTGCTGAAGGTTCAAATTCTGTAAGGGAAAATACGAAAACCACATGAATAAGCACACGATAACATGTGCCATCAAGTTCACAAGACAGAAAATACAACTGTAAGCTTTCAAACTCAACCACATCTTTGAATTTGCAATAACAAGGCACAGCAGATTACTTTAAAATGATTTCTCACCTCTGGCTTCCTATATGGCTCTGGGTCATTCCATTTCCACTGATACAGTTGGCCATTTACACCCACTGCAAGGAGTTCGCTGTACATGGCGGCAATGTGGGTGAACCGACATCCATCTCCCCCCTGCTCAAAAATGGAGCCAACCAAAATGTTCAGGCCTTAAATACAGGTGTCTACTTTCCATTAACTCCAACCCCCTAGGGTACATATCAAATCATATTGAAATTGGAGGATTAAGGATTGAGGGCTGTTTGGGTTAAACTTTAGAATTTTCTTCTATCAATGATCCATGTCATGTCTGACCTTCTCAGGCCACCATTCCAGATCATCGCTGACCGACAACGGGCTCTGGCTGTGTTGGACTGGTGCCCCCTTTTTGGGCTCCTGGCCAACCGTAGGGTCCACCGTGCTGGACTTGTAACTGCCCGCGCTGCTGGCTGCATCTCGTAGGGCACTGTCCAGCCAACGCCGGTCCCTGGCTCGCAACAGTGGGTCCCGCTCGCTGGCATCTCTATCACGGTCTACTCGGAGGGGAAAAAGAAAGAATCGACAGAGTTTCAAGAATATCAGAATGGATCTACCTAGCACTCAATTAATACGTCAAGTCAATCTAAGCATGTACATGAAAAGCCAAGAATTATCATCAGGGGAAAACGTATCTCCTTAAAGTCACTGAATTTATCTCACACACAGTATAATACTACACAAGTGGGGTGATGGCACACTTACTTCATACGCATAACTGTTTACATCAATTTGCCTCCCCTTTGCACAAACATCAACACAGGCTTTGCCTTTGGGCAACTAGGACTAAAACTGACAAGTTTGTTCGATGCAGAATTTTAGTCCAAGGGTACAGTTCTCACCTCTGCTGGACGACGCTCTGGACCGGGCTCGGGACGAGTGAAGACCAAGGAAGTCTTCTGAGAACATGGCATCGGCATCGATGATGACACTGGGATGATCAGAATGGATACCACCATCCAGAAGAGACATCAAGTCATCTAAAAAAAAAATGAAAAATTTATGTTTGATGGTATTTAAACATTACGGCACGGGAATCTGGGTTTCAAGCAGTTAAGGCTGGATATCCTGAAACTTTTCCTAAAAATTCCCGAGGTCTCCAAGGAATATTCCCAAATGGATTCCCACAAATTTTCAATTGGAAATTGCCCAGAAATTCTGTGGATTCCATGGAACAAATGTAGTGTTTCCACAGGTTTTCCCTCGGGCATTGTAGGATTCCTACATAATCCTTTTCAAACCCTCCATCTTCAAGCAATTTCAGGTGCCACTCTTACCTCCTCCTGAGATGTAACTGTCTCCTTCTTCTTGGTCATCCCCATCCTCATCATCGCGACTTAAGAGGTTATTCACAGCTAGGTTTACATCCAGATTCTACAACATAGCAAAAGTCATTTGCTTGTGTGTAAATCTAGGGTTGTGTCAATTCCAATAATTAACTATTCGAATATTTGACCTTCAATTCCATCAACTATCAGAATATTCAGTCGTACCGACTGGCAGATTGTTGAAGAACAAACAATGTACAAAATCATACATTATAATCACTGTAATAGCTTCTCACATCTACGAGTATCTCCAGCCATGATTTGGCAAGATTTAAGAGGTGCATAATACTTCTTGTCCTGTTGAAAATGTATTTTCTTTTACAAATTTTAATGGAAAATGTACTTTTGTACATTGTAAGGTTTCTGTCACGCTTTGTTTGAATCTGCTTGGAACAAGCCTCCATAGTACAATTTTTCTCATTTAAAACAAAAGAAAATTCTCCCTTTTAATGAATTTTGCATTCAAACATTCAAATTCGAAAAAATATTCTTTGAATATTCGTTAATCGATTGCATATTCAGATATTCAGCACGACCTTATATAATTCTTAGATCAATTTCTACTCTGAGCAAGAACTTCAGGGTTATGTAACTGAGTACACATGTATATGCATGATTTGTTGGAGACCAAAATGGAAGGCAAGTGAGGTTGCTTGTACAAATAAATATATTCATTTTCCCCAGTGGAAGCAAATTTTTTGTACCTATAAATGTTACGTCTAGTTCCCAGACTTACTGTGCGCTGAAGCTCCCTGATAATCACGCCCCGGCTTTTCCCCTGCAGGACCATCTGGGCTTGGGACACCAGCTCCTCGGGTACCACGGCTGCTGGGACCACAGGTCGCGACCCTACAATGACACCCCCTCGACCCCGGGACTGCGTGCGGATAAAGCGGCCACGGTTGCGAGAGGTGGCTGAGGCAGTGGACGCTGCATTTGTTGTGCTTCGACTGGTCGTGGTACGGCTGCTTGTTATCCATTTCCTGAAGTTTGTGAAACAGGACAACAACATGAGATACATCCGTCACACAAACCATCTGCTTCATTACAAACCTTAACCATCTTTAAACCAACAACAGTTGAGCAGGAGACTTGGGGAGATTTGGGGAGATCAAGAAAAATCAAGAACACAAGGAACTCACGCGGTATTAGAGGAACTTGAGGGCTGTTCCCCTGAGCTCAACAGCCAGGGGTTGGTCGAGGTTCGACTTGTTGATGAGAGGTTGCGTGTGGTTGAGGAGGTTGCTGTCTTAGCCTTTGAACTAATGGAATACATGGAAAGTACGTACAGTGTATTTCTCTGACTCAAGAGAAGCGCTCATGATATTCCAGCATTCCTAAACATAACTGAACTGAATTGTCATTTCAAACTGTAAATGTACACATAATTTTTTAACAGCTCAACGAAAATACTCAAAATCCTTGAACTATGTGCATTTAAAAGGACAGAGGAATTGCCATATGACAAAATCTTGCACTTCCAAACTGAGTGGATAATGTTGACAGTTTTGTCAACATACTTTTTTTTATTTGGTCCCTTATCACTGCTTACATATTAACCCTAACCCACCCAAGGGTTGCTGGACCTAACCTTCCCCAATCACACAAACTTCAACACCTTGGAAAAACATTCTTTACCTCACGGTACCCAATCCCACAAACTTCAGTAGGTCTTTACCTGTGTGATTTTGTTTGATTGGGTACAGCAAGCCCACAGTACAACGAGCATGGACAGGCAGTACCTATTCAAACAAACTCACACACCATCATGCTGCATATCCATCCCCGGCTGCTGGGATCATTGTGGTCAGAAACAATGAAGATTGTCCTTGTTATGGTATTTATTACATAATATTACATACTATCATACTTACCATTTCAATGGGAAACTTTCTATCTTTACATAATTTTTAAAAATACAGTCCTCATTTGAAATTCTTGATGGTATAAGTGATGGTAAAAAGTGAGAGGGCC